GTGTGTGTGTGTGTGTGTGTGTGTCTGTGTTTTGAGGGGAAATGACAGATGGGGGATACAGATCGCTAATCACAGCATGACCGTGTGATGCTGCAGGAGGTGACAGCAGTGAAGGATAAGTGCGGTCGTGGGTGGACAGACGAACGGATGAGTGGTCATTAGTATGTGTGTCAGTGTCCATCCAGGACCAGCGATGGCACAGGAAACTGAATTGTGAATACCCCGTTAGAGCGGTGAGGTGGAATATTTAATGGATCCCTCCACTACATGTAGCCCATTTAAAAACCTATTTTCATGCTAATGACAGTTTTCAACTCTGTTCATTATTTTCAAGTAAAATTAGCTATTTAGCTAAAAATAAAATAAAATACACACTGAGGGTAACAAATGTTATTACAGTCACAGGAATAACAATAGACTGGACCGGTGCTTATATGGAGCCTTTCTATGACTACAGGTGTCAGTGCACACATATATATTTTATCTGCTTTCATTTGCATCAGAGCAGATGAGATGGATTCACGACACATATATAGCACAAAAGAGCTGCTGGGCTGCTGAACTTCTGTGGCCTTTTCCACCTTTCCTCATGTAGCAGTCCACCTCCTGGTATCTCGTCCACACATTTGAGACTGTGCTGACCCGGCAAACCTTCTTATGACAGCACATATAGATGAGCCGTCCTGGAGGAGCTGGATTACCCGTTCAAGCCGAGTGGGCTGCAGATACCATCTCGCTTCACCAGCAGTGACGAGGACGCAAACAAAAAGCAAAAATAGAGAGAATCAGTCAGGAGGGACGAGCACAGTGGTGTGTAGCCATCGCCTGTCAAGCCATTCGCTTTCTGGGGTTTTCTTGTTGTTGCCTCTCCAGTGCACCTGTTATCATTTTCATCTGCATCAAAGCAGATGAAAATGATTCATAATGTTTATGCTTCAGAACAACAACATTTCGATTACCCAAAAGATTATTGGAGATTATTTAGTCATCAAAAATATCCATTCATCTACTATAAATAGCAGTGGTTGCTTTATTTCATATACCGTATTTCCCGGACTACAAAGCACACCTGACTATTAGCCACACGAGCTAAAATCAGGGGAAAATCCAATTTCGTACACACATTAGCCACACCTGACTAAAAGCCGCAGGTGTTTCAATGTTGACTTATCATATGTAAGAGAATATGCACAAAGCGAATTGTCAGGAAAGAGATGGCTGTTTGGAGACACACCCCTTTTATTAATATTTTGAAAAACAAGTTATGGGGACATATTTGCATAACTTTTTAGGTATATGTACAAGTACGAAACATGTACCTTGCTTCATAAATGAGTAACAAATGTAGTACATAACAATAACCTACAGCACACCAGAAAAATAGATTCGG